GGGCCGCATCAATAGCCTTCCTGGACACCTCTGACTTTGGGTTAGGGAGAAGTGGTGCAACACCGGGGAGACATGGGCAGGCCATGCCAGTAGGGGATGATGGGAATGGTCAGTGCTTTTTTTGGAAGAAAAAAGGTACCGGAACTCATGAAATTATTTATCTTTCGCACGTAGTCAATCACTGTACACACACCCACACACGTCAGTTGTGCAACGAAACGTAACGGTTGCCGCCCGCAGTAAGCGCTCGGCGCATGACCACAGGACCAATCCCAAGCCGAGCAGCGCCATCACAACCAGCGCGGACGAAGTGCGCACGCATCGGACTCGACACGCAAGCCGCCCACACGTGCCGTTTTCATGATTTTGCCGCCGACCTGCTACGCTTGACAGGGCGATTCAAATCCATGTAGACCAAACCTCAAATTTTCAAAAGTAACTTTTAAAACTTGGAAAATCTGTCAAAAACCGGTGCCAGAACTCCGTTCCGGTGTGTTCCATGACCAAAAAAAGCACTGGGAATGGTCATGCCTGAGGGCGCCAGGTTGGGGAAGGGTGCACCGCTGAAGGAGCGCTCGGGGGCAGAGCAGGGTGCCCCAGGAGGGGCTGTGGGGGCGTGCAGCCGGACGGCACACTTACCACAGTTGGTCTCGTCCCGGCCGTTGCCACAGTCCGCGACGCCATCACACTCGGGGTTGGCTTTCCCAATGCAGACCTTGCTGGAGCACTGGAAGGTGGATGGGGTGCAGGGCACGGCTGTGGGGTACAGGGTGCCATGAGGTGATTCATGAAGAGGAGGCGGAAAGAGGCCCCTCCATCCCTCTCCATGCGGGAGCCCCCCAGCTCGCTGGGCACCACTGGGCAGGGCCGAGGTGCTCTGGCTGGGCCCATCTGGGAGGCCAGGGGACCGCACGGCAAGGAGTCATGCTGGGATTTTGCTGCACCTTGGCTGCTTTCCTGGCCTGGGCACCAGAAGTGCAGGGACTGTAGTCCCAGCCCAGGATGATGGGAGCTACAGACCCAAGACCTGTAGGCTGGCTCCGGCAGAAGCTCCCATGGTGCTCCTCAGAAGCCCGAGGTGGTTCCCCTCCCGCTCCCGCCCTGTTCTGCTTCCGAGGAAGTGGATGCAAATCCTCAAGCATTCTTCAGAATGTGCATCCGTGAGGAGTCGGGCCCAATCCAGTTGGGGCTGGAAGGCCTCGCTCGGGATTCTTGGGAACATTGACCTCCAGCTCCCACCCATCCAGGTTGGGACTGGAAGGTCCTTCTCTGGATTCTTGTGAAGGTAAACTTCCAGTTCCAGGTAGGGAAGGTGGGCGTCAAAGGCCACAAGACTAGGAGTCAGCCTCTGCCGATTCCTGCTCCGCTGAAGATGCCGAGGAAGGGGCTACCCCAAAGCTGTTGCAAGTTGCCCCACAGTTACCTGGCTGCTGGGTGGCCTTCCAGGGGCTGGTCGTGGTCTCAAAGGGGGTGCTCAGCCTGGCACTGGGGGCTGGTTGGGAAGTCCTCTGGCCAGGGATGGACGAGCTAGACGTGGTGGCTGAACTGGCCAAGATGCCGGGCTGGGGCGAGAGGGTTTCCAGAATCCAGGCCTTGACTTTGCTGATCCGGGCGTAAACACCAGGCCTCTTCGCCTGCGCGCAGCCAATGCCCCAGCTCACCAGACCCGCCAAATAGAACATGCCCGGGGCCTCCTCACAGGCCAGGGGTCCCCCTGAGTCACCCTGGGGGGAACAGAGGACCCACTCCATTAAATAAGCCCTGGAATGACCGTGTTTCCCTCAAAATAAGACCTAACCAGAAAATCAGCCCATGATTTTTCCGGTTGCTCGGAATATAGGTTTAGGACCTGGATAACTAAAGGAACGCCTTCTTCCGTATTTGTCCTCCCGCCCCCTGAGATCGGCAGCAGAGGGCCTCCTCTGGGAACCTTCCGTGAAAGATATTAGGGGG